TTTTTTTTTTACTGTTTTCATATCAGAGCTGCACGACAATGCGTTTTTTTAGAGTGTGTGTAAATGCATTGTATACTGTCAGCTCTCCAAGCCCTGTGGAAAAAAATGGCGATTCAGGCGCAATGTAAAAGGGTTTTCAGAGGATATTAATGATAAAACTGGAAATATGTAAAGTAATTTTTAAATAAATCTGTTTGCATGCGTGTCCAGTTATGCAGGATATGGGTTATTTAGGAGCATCTTTGACAAAACCAACGCTAAAATTGGAAGTAAAATATCTTTCTATAAATTGGTGTTGTAACATTAAGTTCCTATTTTGCATAGTTTCCGGGGATTGTTCTGTTGATTCTCTCATAATGGACGTACTTTACCTTACTTTCCTTTACGGGGAAGGTTCCGTCGATTTTTTCATTACGAACGTACTTCACCTCCCTTATGGCACTCTTTCACGAGAAATGTCTTGGGATGATCCTGCCATTTATTGCTGTTTCATGAAGTAGAACCATCTTGCACGCGCTTTACCTAACTTCACTGTCATTTTGGGGCGCGTCATAGTAAAAGATATCGCAGTCAAGGCACTTGCTAATTATATTGAAATCGGCTTCAACGAAAAGCTGTTTGAAGACGATATGAGACCTGATTGGTTAAAGATAAATCGCACCTCATCCAAGCCCTGGGAACGTTAGAGGCGGAAGATCTGAAGACGTCCAGCCTGCTTGCTGCCTGCAAGCACCTGACAGGCCCGGCATTGAAAAGGGAGAACAACAACAGCAACAAAACCGGCTCTTTTCAGAGCCAACACATCTTCAAAAAGAAGTTTGATGGCATATGTCTGTTTACTGGTTATTAAAAAAAATTTGCCCACCAAAACAACCAACATGTTCTTATTTATTTTTATTTGCCCACAAAAACTGATTAAATTTAATTAATTCTTTTATTGCCCACAAAAATTGAAAGATTGAATCTTAGAAAAAGAGATACAACGGCTTGTCTGTTTGATTTAAAAAAATACATTTTATACTGCCAACCAAAGACATACAATTTTTTAATTACCCACAAGAAACTGATTTATTAAAAAGATACGTTAAATTTGTTTATTGCCCATAAAGAATCAGAAAGATTGAGGACTATTCCAAAGTTGGAAGTAAATGTCGCAGAAACATCCAGCATCTGAAAATGAAAGAAAAAAAATAATGTTCGAATCGAGCACAAATTTATATGAGGTACGACTTGATTTGGGTACAAGTTTACCTGGCTACGAGTTAACTCGGGTACAAGTTGACATTGGGTACGAGAATACCCAAAATTCTGATTATAGCTTGAGGAACAACTTAGTCTTAGAATCCATAAAAACCACCCACAGCTTGTCAAGAGTAAGCCTACTCAAACTCGTTAGTCTTGCCCAGGTTGAATTAAAGAATCGTTTTTTTACAAACAAATGTTGTTCTGTAACTGTGGCAAAAAAATAAGACAAAAACACACCAAAAAAGGAAAATAAAGAGAAAAAAATGCCTGCATTATTTCTTTTCATATATCGTCACTGGCACCATGAAGTAGCACGCTCCGTTCAGGACCTTTTTTTTAGTTTGAATACAGGGTGCTACTTCGTGGTGCCAGTGATAATATATTTTCATCCTAAACATATATCCCATGCCATGGAGTTTTTCGAGTTGTTCTTGAGTAGCGTATTGTAACCTCTGATTGATGATTAATTTTATGAGGCTGACATGTAATACCATGAACATTTAAAAGCCAGCTTTTTCTGTAGGACCAAGGCCTAAAAACGTCAACATCGAAAGGAAGTGGAATTTTGCGATTGACGCGATGAGGCCTTTTTATCGCGATAAACAAAACATGGTTGAATTTTGAAAATGCTGGGGAGTTGTATGCTTATCGCGTTTAACGCGTTTCGGCACAAAGTGCACTACGCATGGTGTGACACAATGAGTATCCTATGCTTTGTGCGATTGACGCGTTTGGCTCTACAAGTGATAGTGTGTTATTGCGCAGTTAAAAACGAGAATTTACGGTCCACAAACATTGTACGAAGTTGTACAGGTCGATGCTTATCGTGTTAAGTGCGATTTAATGAGAGGCGGCACAGCATGAAGCTTGAGAAAAAATAAAACACAGAGAAAAATCCGAAAAATGTCCCTCAGCCTGGCGGCTACGCAAAAGAGAATCCCTCAGAAAAATGTCAACAACAGGTGTTACAGGATTGCTGATAAGTGTCAATAAATTTGGGAATATCGAGGCCACAAATTTGACCTATGACCCACGAACTAGACTATAAAAGGCATTCGTATTGGCTACGATCACCAGTGCTGTATTGTGCCAAACCCGCGGTATCCTCAGAGACTTCGGCCGGAGTTAAGAAACCAGTTCCATGACTAATGAGCTGTCAATCAATCCTTTCTGCAAGGCTTTTCCAAAGACGAATTTATTGTTAAGAGGATTTTTTGCTAAGCTAGTATAACCGGCGGTTGGTGTTGCTGTTCATAAGATGAAGTCTAAATTAAATGAATATCGACATATGACGATGTAAGTGCGATTTGTGTATCGTAAATTGGGAGACATTATGTTTCAGAGTTTTGTTTATGTTGTCACTGGAACATGCAACTAGGTCATATTTTGCATTTGCGTCAAATTTAGATACAGGTATTGGGGGTTTCCCGTGGAGGAGCAGAAAATTACGAGGGATGAATTGAATTAGAAAAACCCTCCACCCCCTTGTGATGTTTCATGTGAAAATGGTATTTTACCCTGGGCCTATTGACAGATTCTGTCAAAGAATGAGCGACAGATAGGCACTTTTACTTAAATTCATACAAGGCACTTTTAATTAAATTCATATAATATTTTCATCTCTTCTTGATACAACCAAAACGGCATTCAAATTTGAGCTCAGGGCTTTCATAGTTTAAATTTTTGTTAACGCAAATTTTAAGCGCAGTTATTAATTTCGTTAGTTTTCCAACATGACGAGTGGGATGGTCTGTCCACTCTCCCATAAGCATCGCATACGCATCATAAATCCATGAATGTACGTGTGTTTTATTTGAAGACATGTGAAGGACAAGACCACCAATCTTCAGTGTTCACAGCACGGACGTCATATAAAAAAAATCTGGACTCGCAATGCAGCCAATCAGCACGCGTCAAGCGTTGAAGCTACCGGAGGTGGAGCGGCGGCCATCTTACCGGGCCAAACAAGCGCGAAATTTAAAGGCCCAAAACATTGCATAATCGCTGCGCAAGTGTATACGTACATCTACGTACCGGTAGGCTATGTGCTCGTCACTCATCCGCTGTTGGTCAAATTGTTACAAGCCAAGGAATATATAATATCCAAAATATTAAGAAATACCCGGCCTGGGTTGTTTCGACGTTGTTTCATTCACGAAAAAAGGGAAAAGGAGGAAAACCATGCCACAGTGTGCAGCATTTGGATGCACCAACTCCTCGGGGAAAGGACTGCCTGTTACATTTCATCGGTGAGTTATTACATTAGGTTTAAATTATGGTTTCAACCATTTTACGGGGAATTGTGCAGTAGGGTGTCTTGTTTCAATGGGAAGAAAATGAAAACCTTCCTTAAAAATTTGGACTTGGGCCTGAGCCTAGTAGGCCCATGGAGGAAGGAAAAGACGTGGTAGGCCTAGGCCTACTTTAAGTTACTTAAGCAAACGTCATAGTCCCGCATTCTGAGATTTTCAATTGTGGTGCATTCATTTTGTGGTAAGGCATGAAAGCGGGCAGGGTTTTCATGGTTTTTAGGTTCCAATTTGTTGATCTTAGGCTTACTCTTGGAAATAGTGTTAGAGTGCTGGTTGAATACATGACCTGATGACCATAAGCAGTGATCTAGGCTAGATGAAAATCTAATTTTCTCGTCACGCTAGGGCCTATAGGCCTATGTAGGCCAACCTGGCTTTCCTAAAAATTTACAAAAAAATTGGGGCAGGAAAACTAAGCATCAAAGAAAATATTGCCTCAGGTTGAATACTTTTGGAGGGAAAAATTTTTTTGCCTGACCTAATTTAAGCCTTCTTGCATCCCAGACATAGGCTAAACTAAGGTTGAGGGGTCCCAAACAAACGCAATGACAAGTTGCATTATGTCATGTATGTACCTCTCATATGACTGAAACCGTCACATATTTTTCTGACTTACTTGTTCAAAAACACATGGGGTTGTATTCGTAAATGAGCAATGTTATGGAGAATTTTCTTTTATTTGTCATTCTTACAAAAACAGGGCCAGGGTGATTTGAAAAACTAGGCGATAAAACAATACAAGTTAATGAAATAATCCTAACGCAATAATTTAATTAAGCAAAATTGAAACACACTTGCACAATTTAGGCCTATAACATTAAGCAAATATATTATAAGTTGAATTAACTTTTCACAGAAGGTGAGTGGGATGGGGAGAGGGGTGAACAGGACTTTGAACAAAAGCGAATTTACTACATGTAGTTCAGGATAGACAAAAAAGTTTAACATAATGATGACCTCTAAAACAAACTGTAATGCTTACATGTACCTTTTGGATTTAAAAAATTCATTGTACATGTACGTGATAACTGGGGCTCAAATAATATAAATCAAATACATTTTTGTACTGCATACAGGTTTCCCAAGGACAAAGAGCTGTGCTGCAAATGGACTGTAGCACTGCGAAGGCAGTCATTCAGGTCAACACCTGGTGTTACTGTTGTATGCAGTGTGCACTTTATGGAGACTGACTTTGACAGGTCAGGGCAAACAGTGCGCCTCAGGCATAATGCTGTGCCAAGCATCTTTCCAGGCTTCCCAAACCATCTGAAAAAGGTCAGCATTTCTTTTCAGTCTGAAACTTTCACTAATTAGCCACAATTAGAAAGTTGCATTTAGATGTACATTGAACGTGTATCTCATGTACGTAGTGAACAAACAAGCAAAATTACAGGTTAAAGTACTCTAGGCCCAAGAAAGAAAATTTGTGGAGGTGGAGTGTGACAATGTGGAGATGTGGGTTCAATTCCCACCCTGTTTCTTTGAAAAGCAGGTAGTTCAATGAAGAGCACCACATAACTACACTTCTGAACAGCCGGACAAATGATAGTAATTATTAAATAAAGGAGTACAATATTGAAAATTGCATCAATGTACCTGTAAACTGTGTATGTTAAATAGATAAGTATGGTTGAATTTTAATGAAAACCTTTTCTCATAGTTGTGTGTAAATGTTTATTTAACCAAGGGTAATTAAGAAAGAAAATGTAAACATTTACTCCTATTTGAGGTCATTGCTATTATACAGGGACAAGGATATTTATACATGTAAATTAAAAGGACTATTCTTGTTATTTTATTCCTCTTTCCCACAAGAGAGTTCTCATTTCACTCCCCCTTCATTCTTGTTTTCACTCTAGGAACCCAAACCCCCAAGAAAACCACCAGCAGCAAGATTACCCCTAGCTGCCCGCAATTCAACACAGAATTGTAATGCTACAACCAACCAAAGATCTTCTGCAGTCGCACCTTGCACAGCAAGTGATCATCCGTATGCCCTAACGTCCAGTCCAATGACACTCAAAAGGAAGATTGACCATCTGCAGTCAGCTTTGGAGTCTTGCCATAAAAAACTAAAATGCAGCCAACAACAGAGCCGACGCCTGAGGAAAAAGGTTGAATCACTGACATCAGTTGTTGCGGAGTTGAAGGACAAAGGGATGGTGTCTGAAAACTGTGGGCAAATTCTTGATGCTACATTGTCTGGGGTACCAAAAGCTGTCATGAGTTGACAGTTGAAGTATCATTGCACTGGTAAACATACCCGAGAGGAGTACAACCCCATGCTGAAATCATTTGCTCTGACCCTGCACTTTTATTCTGCAAAAGCATATGAGTATGTTCGAAATACCTTTGAACTTGCCTTACCAAGTTCGTCCACAATAAGAAAGTGGTACAGTGCAATTGATGGGTCTCCTGGATTCAGCAAAGTTGTATTCAAGGCTTTGAAGACAAGATTTCAGGCAGAAAAGGAGGAAGGGAAAGAAACCCTCTGTGCTTTAATGCTTGATGAAATGTCAATCATGAAGTCAGTTGAAATGTGTGGAGAAAAAATCATGGGATATGTGGACACTGGCAATGGAGTAGAGGATGACAGTCTTCCACTAGCAACTAATGCCTTAGTGTTCATGTTGGTGGCCATTAATGGAAGCTGGAAGGTCCCCGTTGCCCACTTCATGATAAATGGTTTGACAGGCAAAGAGCAAGCAAATCTTGTCACCCAGTGCCTCATGAAATTACATGAAATTGGAGTGTCTGTGGTTTCCCTCACCTGTGATGGACCTTCAGCACATATCACCATGCTGAATGAGCTAGGTGCAAGCATTCGACCTGACAACATGGACTCCTCATTCACCCACCCTGCAAATCCTGGCCAGAAAGTTTGGGTGATGCTGGATGCTTGCCACATGTTGAAGTTGGCAAGGAACTGCATAGGGACCTTGAAAGTGCTGAAGGATGGAGAGAACAGACTAATTGAATGGAAGTACATTCAGAGACTGTATGACATGCAGAACAAGGAGGGGCTGCGATTGGGAAACAAACTCCGTCGAAAGCACATAGGATGGCAAAAAAATGTGATGAAGGTGGACACAGCAGCACAGACTTTGAGTGCAAGTGTGGCAGATGCCATAAAGTACTGCCGTGAGAGCCTGAAATTGCCAGAGTTTCAAGGAAGTGAGGGAACATGTAACTTCATCGAGATATTGGATCATCTTTTTGATATCCTGAACTCCAGAAACCCACTAGCCAGGAATTACTAGGCACCACTCATGTTTGCTCGTGAAAGGCTGTTTCTGCCATTCTTAAATTCTACCTACAACTATCTTGCTACAGTCACAAATAGTGATAAGAAGGTTAAGACTTCAACACGTCATAGAACATCTTTCATTGGCTTTATGGCATGCATCATGAGTGTGAAAAATCTTTACACAACGTATGTTCAGGCAACAAATTCACCACTGAAGTACCTTCTGACAGACAAGCTAAGTCAGGACCACATTGAATTGTTCTTCTGTGCAATCCGCCTGTCATGTGGCTCTAATAACAACCCAACTGTACGACAATTTACATCGGCATTCAAACGTCTCCTGATGCGGCATGATGTGAAAGTAAACAAGGGGAACTGTTCACCTCAGGATGCCACAAAGATTCTTGCAGCAGCATCTTTCAAGAATGTAGTGAAGCAGGCTGTTCCTGATGAAAGTCACGACATGCTAGTTGCAAGACGGTATAACCTGGAGCTGCAACCACCCGTGACTGATGATCATGACTATGCAGATATTCCCAATGTTGCTGCCTTATCTGCTTTTGCTGAATCCTGTGTTGGGTACATTGCTGGCTACGTTGTCAAGATGGTGAAGTGGACACTGAAATGTAGAGAATGTTTAGATGCATTAACTATTGACACCATCAGTGAGGATCCATCACCCTCATACTCCCTCATCAAAACAAAAAACAGAGGTGGACTCATCCTCCCGGCACACAGTGTAGTTAAGGTTTGTGAGGCAACTGAGCGCTACATCAAAAGGCTTCTGATCGTCACTGAAGGAAAAATGCCCAGGCAAACTGGAATAAAGAATGCCATATCTAGTTCCGTGCTATCTGAAGTGGGTGCCAGCACATTTGAAAGTCTCCATGAACATATGCTAGATGTAAAGTCAGATAACAACCACATTTTCAGGCTAATATGCCACATATCACAATGCTACTGCAAAATCAGACTTCATCATGCCACCAAGATGCAGAATGATGACATAAGAAAAAACGCTGACCAAACTCATCTTATTCTCAAGTCAGTAATCTTACCTCGGCACCTCAGCACCTCTATAGAAGTATTCCGGGCTAGATGTCAATGAGAAAATCACTAGTCACAAGAGATGACACTGGCTTGGACCTTTTTCTGTAAGTAATCAGTATTCTTGTTTGCCTGAATGTGAAAATTAAAAAAGATTACAATGTACAACCTGTTTCAAAATCAAACCACCCGTTTACAGAAACGAACGTGCACAAAATAAATATACAAAACAGTTGATTTCATCTAGAATATCTGGAAGAGTGTCGGTTTAATGTGCTTTTTAATTTGAATATGAGTCCCAAAAATATAGGTTATCCAGAGTCATTGTGTTTCAAGTCAGTGAGATTACTATAATTTTACTCTAATTGTCCCACACAGCACTTGGCATGAAACCTTACCTGGATGTCCTATTACAGCCCATCAATTAGAGCATCAACACAATACAACTTTCTGTAAGTAGTTTGTTGCTAAATATTTTGCTGTTCTTGACTAACTGACTAATTCTGATAGTCAGTAGGAAGACTATTATCTTGTGGTTTCTTCACTTTAAGACCCAAAGTTCTCCTCTGTAACACAAATGACTTAATGAACTTTGAGCAATCGTTCTTTTATCCCGAAATCTCTTACTCGGACAAATTTCACAGACAAAAAATACAATTCTCTCACAGTAAAGAAATTGCGTCTTTGTCAGGCTTAAGCGTCAAATTTCTGTAAATCAAGGACATAAGTCTTTTCCTTCCTCTATGATTCTTTCAAAAATGCAGACAAAAAATTAATTTTGACCCTGAAGTCCAAAGAAAATGCCAATATTAATCACGTACCACCATTGCGGACACTGCTGAACTCATCCATCCAACATCTTGTGGGCGAAGTGGCAAATGGGCGAAGTGGTAAATGGGCAAAGTGGCAAATGGGTGAAGTGGTTGTGGGCGAAGTGGAAAATGGGTGAAGTGACCTGTTACCGTCACTGTACATGTATGTGTGGGGCTAGGCCTAGTTGGAAATGAAAACCCTGACCATGCTAACCCTTTTTACAAATATAATTTTAAAAAGGAAATCACAATCATCAAATTTAATTTTAAGTGAGTTGTTCTGTAAGTCAAATTTGTTTTCTTTAATATAGGAACAGCATCCTAAAGTGAACACACATTATCTTTCACATCGCTGTGCCATGTTTTTGCTTGAATTTTCATAGTATTACTGTTTTATTAGGGCCTAACACCATAATTTGTCAGGTGATTTTCGAAGTGCTCTGTCATGTGTCTTAACGTTGTCAATTTCTCTGAGAAAATGGTAAATCCAAGCCTAGTTCACTAACCCTGTATTTGAAAGTTGTAGTTGTCCGAAGAGAAACTGTTGGAAAGTCTGGTCGGCTAGCTGTGTTAGATGGATTCCCGTTTAACGTGAAGTTCTCGGTCGGTCGGCGATGACCATTCGTGCCATCGGCAAACGAATCATGCCAAAGCATATGCATGGCGATGACGACGCTTCAGCTTCATCAGTTGTGTGAAATTTGTGCTCAAATCGGCACTTCTCTCGCAGATCAAAGAGATACGAGCATCATATACACGCACTTATTTTTACCTCAACCTTTGGATATAGAGTGAGCCAAAATTGTTGAATTTACAGGCAAAAAAAAGTAAAAAAAATTGGCAGTCATTCGCAGTCTTCCATAGATTAGCGTTGGTTTGTTTACAAACTTTCGGCACGGTAAAATGGCCGCCACGCCACATCCTGTCGCTTCAGCCAATCAGCTTCATTGCGAGTCCAGATTTTTTTATATGACGTCCGTGGTTCACAGATGTTAAGAGTGATGCCACATGCCGAAGCTGGCAGAAGCCGGAGCGCCAGGATACGCTGATTGGCTACTGGTGCTACTGCGAGCTGTAATTACCTGTACAACGTCCGCAAAGCATGCACAAAATAATTGCACACACTAATTTAATTTCAGTTCGTTGCTGACAAGCACGAAATTGACGCGCTATTTGACGCGCGACGAAAAGCAATTGTGGAAGTACGCTCCATTTAGTTTAACTAAGGTATTGTGGAGGTACGCTCTTGTATTTAGTTTAATTAAGGTATCGTTTGTGCCTTGTTCGTTAGAAACAGCTGGTTTGCTGAAGGATGATGTACCCCAGCAAAAGTAGTAGATGCATCGAGTCCGCAACAATGAAAGCTAGTGAATGTCAAACTGTACAAGTCGGTGGTCCCAACAGCTGCTCGTACGTGCATTTGCCACTTTAAAGATCACCTTCTTTCAAGATCTGTATACAAGATTCTAGCCTGATAAATCAGATACAGTTAGCTTCTTATTGAATCCCTTGTCATAATATTTATCCAACATATCTAATGGGTTCTGCTCCCACAGAGGGGTGTGGCGACACACTTAATCTGGGATATTTCAAGAACAAACAAACGCAAAACCTACTCCCAGCTTTTTTATAGCATCATACATTCGTGAGTACATTAAAAAGTGATGGGGGGTGAACAAGTATGTCCAATTGAACACTATGTCAATGATTAAGAATAATGCAATTCATCAATCAGGATCTGATTCTCTCATCTGTTATTCTGCTTTCATGCTTTCCATTTATTTACTCTTTTGATGTTGGCATTGATGTACACTTGTTTCGTTCGGTTTGTCTCCCTTGTTTGTCTGGCCCACACTGGATTGTATTGTCCATCTGTAGGTTAGGGTACAAAAGCGTTCCTGTAAAACTTTACACCTGAAGGTTATCCAATTTCTGTAGTACTTGAGTAACGCATGCATGTTAAATTGCATCGTATTAATTGGCAGCATTGAAAGTAATGTCTGAATTTGTAAGGTTTTTGTTTTGATATCTTACTCACACCATTGGCGGTACGACATCAATTGCCAGAGTAATTATGGTTTTCCAAGCAGTCCACCCCAACTGTTGGTCACGTGAATATTCGCCATAGAAATTTCACACAAGCGATGACTGGGATTGTACAAAATGCGTCTGTTGTAGCATTATTTTTATGACAGTTCACGTG